GCCTGGTCAATATTTTCAAATTTGAACTTGGCCTTTTGCACAGACTAACAACCAAGAAAAGTCTAAACTTAGTTTGAACGGTTCACAATAGTGAGAAACACTGTAATGTCTTTGCAAGCAAGGCTCCTGATACCTTCGGGCTATTCAGCAAATGACCTTGGTGGGTTGACAATAAATATCTCGCAGGGTCACAATTCATTCTTTGATTTTTTTTTTTTCCATTCAGTCTTCTGGAGAGAAAAGGCTGTGGTTTTTAAAATATAATGACAATTTTCATGGCTTGGATTAGAAAAAAACTCTAGTCAGGGTTCCTGCTCATGAATAAATAATTCAAAGACAGCTTATGTATTGAAGATGTGGTTATTAGCAATTGGATTCTGACCATGCTGACTATGTTATACAAACCTTTGTAAATGTGACAGTCCCAAAGGGATTCATGTGGCAATATGTACTGAGTGCCTTTTCTTGCTGGGACCTTGAAATGACCAATGAAAGAGACAGATCTCTGGCAATTCAACCAAGGGGCAAAAGGGAATATTAAATTCAGTCTGTCTGGTATAATCCAATAGTTGATTTATTGTTTTAAACTCACATGATCACAAGTCACATAATAAAAACAATAAAAATAAGTAATTGTTTCCATGGAATTAAAAGCCAAGACAATTTTTCAGAAGAAGAATAATGATGGCTCTTGCTTTATGAAATATTATAATATATTAAAAGGCTAGGGGGATTAAAGAGAATGGAGTTGGCCCAGGAATGGCAGATTAATGGAATAAAAAGAACCCACAAATAGCAGACTCGAGTATAAGTGAGAAATATGTATATAATAAAGAAGACATTTAAATCAGTGGGGAAAAGGATGAATTAATCAACAAATCATGTTGAAGCAACTGCCTCACCATCAGTAAAAAGTAAAGTTATTCCTATCTTATTCCTTACAGGAAAATAAATTCTAGATTTTAATCCTAAAACTACTGAAGTATAAGAAACATCATAGATAAGTGTTCAAGATGAAGGTGTTCTTTCCAAGGACGACATCAAGGTCAGAAATTATAAAGTAAATGAATGTTACATGTGATTTCATAAAAATTATAAAATTTTGTATTAGAATTTAAAAGAACCCATATACAAAAATCAAAAAAGAGATAAAGGCTAATGCATTTTGGAGACTAATGTTAATATAATTTCATTTTACTCACAGGCTGATGAGGCCTGTGGTGAGGGTTCCATATCTTAATCCATAAAAATATATTGGGTTATATCTGGGTGCAGAGCAGACAATTGATATGTTTTTCTTTATATTTTGCTGTACTTTTGAATTTCACTCTTGCAATGATCATACATTCCTTCCTTTTATTATCAGCAAAAGTAATACGGCTATTAAAACTGCCTACTGGTCCCATATGTGAGCATTTCTTGGAAATTCTCGCATCACAAATGTCAGATACTCAATACAGCTAAGGATCTTATAAAAAGAAATCTGAGTTTAATTTGGCTAGGACGTCAAAGTACCTGGAGGTTTCCTAATCACTGGGGTGTAGCAGCTAATATTTCAACATTTTCTTCATCGCCTTATAGAATTTGCTTATCATTCATATAAAAAGTAATGATATTCCATTTTGTGGAGTTACTATATAGCCCTAACTATTGCAATTAGGAAATATATTAGTCAAATATACAAGTATCAAGATGATTGCATTGCAAAATTTATTTGTTTTGACAAGAGACCAGTCAATCTGTCTAAATAATTCGTAGCTCATTGCATGAGAATACGCATCCAAAGACTATCTGATAATGAGAATTATATCTTAATAAATATGAAATCAAATTCTAATGCTTTTCCATTTAACTTTGCACTGAGAATAATTTTTCTTAGAGCACATCTGGAATTTTGAAAAATGCTAAAATAAATAGCAATTCCTGACATATTTCTTAATATTTTCTACTTCAAGGAACTACGAATCATCACTGTGGCACATCTCCACATGGTCCAAACTTTCCAGAGCCCATGAAAATATACTTAGAGTAAAAGAGGCAGTGATGATAGTAATTGACACATCTTTCTAGACTAATTATGTCATTTGGAGGAAACAGTGTCCTGTTTATGGTTATGGAGACAGTGCTGGGGTTCAATCGGGCTCCCCCACTCAGAGTCTCCCTGTTCTTGGGCAGATTACTTGTCCTCACCAGTTTGTTTCCTCACCTGTAGGATGGGGAGAGTAGTATCTACTATGTGGTCATTATTGAGGGGATGTATTTAAAGGCACATATTGGGCACTGAAAGAAAATGATGACTATTATTGAGAATGGACACGGGGATGACATGGCTGCTATGCTGCCATCAGGAAGCTGGCTGAGTCTCTACCAAGAGCTCACGGGGGAACTATAACCTCAATGAATTTACTACCATCCGGGGGTGAGGCTGCTAAGCTCCGAACAATGATCACAGGGAAGACGACTCACATTATTTAAGGTCAGTCAACAGTTAACTGATTGAAGGTAGAACATATTCATTTCTCGTGCCTGAAGTGATCATCTATCTCTCTCAATCAGGCACCACCCTCCTTATTATTAAAATAACTCTATTTTGGGGAGGATGGACTCAGAACAAAGAGAGGCAGACTCATGAGGGAAGTGTCACCTGCATCACGGTGAGGCCAGTGACTGTCCTCACCTTACCACAGACGCCACTTCACCAGAGCAGAGACACTCGGGGCCTCCCAGAGCTGGGGTCCCTCTCCAGGGTAGCGCCCAATAAACCACCTTTGCAACCTCTGAGCTTCCCTTTTTCGTTGTTCAAGGCTAGTGGTCCACCCTTACCACAGAGGTCTTCCCTAGTAAGAGAAATTATAATGCACTGGTCTCCACTTATTAAATTTCCATCATTTCCAATCTTTTCTCCCCAGGTATAGCAAGGTAACCTTGGTGAAAGTCCTGGGTGTTCCCTTAAATAGTCAATCTCATCAACTGTGTGAGAATTTTAGCAGGATAACCATAGAGAACTATCTTATTCCCTTGTTTCTAAGTCTTTGAAGGAATCTCACTGCTTCCCCATGCAATACTAAGTCATCTGTACTGTTGTTTCTGTTGATTGGATGGATGGATGGATGGATGAAAAACGGACAGATGGAATATGAAAAGAATATTGTAACACTGGACTGGATCAGCAATGAATGAATCCTTGGTATCTTATCTGACACCCAGAAAGATAAAAGGTAAGACAAAAGAAACTTGATCTGCTGACGTACATTTATTGCCAGACTTTTGATTCAAGGAATGCAGAAGCAAAGAACCGCATTGAGCTGAAAGAGGAGAGAGTCTGTCTAGTCAAAAACAGCCTCTCATTCTTTCACTCTTCTTGTTCAAAAGTTCACCTTTTAAGCAAGAATATGATGAGGTTGAATACATTTTGGTCTCTAATAAGGAGTGAATTGACTATACTCTGAGCCAGAGATCCAGCTCTGTCCAGATTGACCTTGAACAATTCACTCGGTTCTATTAAGTGTGTTTAAGCCCCCCCTCTCTGTAAGAAGAGGATGCTGACTTTAGCCCTCAATCCTCCCTCAGGAATGTGGTTAGGAAAGAGTAGTGGCATACAGGGTAGATGCAAGCTTCCTACAAAGAAAGGTCCATAAATGGATTTACACCATGAGCAGAAAGAAACAGGCAATATTCTCGGTATCGTGCTGCCATTCTTCTTTAAAACACCTTTCTCTAGTTGAAGCTAATGGTGAACTGATAAATATGTGAAGCAGATTTAGGTCATGCTGCTATTTATTTTTTTTATTTTAATAGATCTTTATTAGAGTATAATTGCTTCACAGTACTGTGTTAATTTCTGTTGCACAACAAAGCGAATCAGCCATATGCATACACACGTCCCTACATCCCCTCATGCTGCTATTTAAAGTCAGGAACTCGCCTGCTGATAATTTTATTCTGAGGATTCATTCAGCACAACCCCGTCTTCTAGAAAAGAATGGGAAACGCAACCATGAAGGTTCATCTTGTTAAAAAATAATCCACACCTAGCATCACCTGGAGAGTCAGCCCCACCTTCCCAACTAGCCCTCTGAGCGATGCAATTTCTGTACATGTAATGTCACGGCAACTTGGTGTGAGCACGAGAGGGTTTTTCTAAAAAAGCCCAGGAGCGGTGGAAAGCAAGCAGCGACTCCCAGCTGGCCACTGGTCATACTATTCTCTGAGCCTGCAGAAAGCAACATTCTGCAACCAGTGGAGTCCTTGTGACAGCGACAGAGCTTTCTCCTGGGTTGTCATCAATTATGATGCTTAAGTGCATTATGTTTTAAAGAAAAATAAATAAATAAGCATCTCTCTCTCTCTCTCTCTCTCTCTCTCTCTCTCATGGTGCAATGGAAACCAATCAAGTCAAATCATTTCAATACTGTCTTTGACAGTGTTCTAACAGGACACTTTCAAAATTGTTAAAGTAGAAAGAAAACACGTGAATAACCTGAAGTGCCCGGCACTGCTCATTTATCAGACCACACACTGCTCTTATCTCCCTTTTCTCCAGATCAAGAAAGAAAAGATTAATATTTTTAATTTAGTAAACAGCATGTTAAATGTATCTTTGGGAACCTCTGTATATACACACACACACACACACACACACACACACACACACACACACACACACCATCTATGTTTTGGAGACACAGCCCTGGAACACTGCCTCACCCACCATGTGGAAATTCTCCAATTTCTATATATAACCACCGCAGTTCACAGGCACACACACCCCCAACCCATCCACAGGCACCTATCAGCTCATCATGCTTGCAGAAATTGGAATGCTGTAACGATGCCCTGAATTTGAGAAATTCACAAGCCCAGAGATGGTTTCCTGACAATGAAAAAGGGCTGGTGCAGCCCGCGGCGGCACCTTCACACCAGGGCAGGCTCTGCCCAGCTTTCTGGCGTGTGATCTGCATGTCTAATAATGGAACAGGTTTGTGGGATCAGCCGCTTACCTTGGAATGCTGCAGCAGAAGTATCTGCTCGTCCAGCTCTTGGCGCTTGCCTTCTATTTCCGTCTGCCTCTTTCTTTTTTCCTTGAAAATAAAAAGAGAGAGAGGCTGTAAGAGTGGGTGGGTGTTGGCTCCAGGAATCTGAAGGTAGGAAGCAGCAGCAGCTGTACACATCTGTAGAGACCCTTCCAGAGATGCTGGGCACACACACTGTTGTCACCTGCCCCTTCGTGTCCGGGTGTGTTGTAAGCAGCAGCCTTCTCTTCACATGTCTGCTGTGGGCTCGGTGAGTGGGAGAGATTCTCTTCACTCAGCCAAGCTGCAACAATTCAATCCAGAAGAAAAGGCAGCTTCTACACACACACACACACACATACACGCATGCACACATGCACGCACACACACACAGAGTCATGTTCTGTGCAGTGTTAATTCAGAGACAAAGAATAAAAATGTCTCAATTGTGAAGACAGAGGTTGTTTTCAACTGCAAAGATGATAGAATAAACAGTGGGAAATTCTGGGGTTAGATTCCTGTTATCAAAATACTACATATAAATAATGCAATGCAATTTCAAATTTTATAGGACAAATCATCCAGTTGGACCTACCAAACAATGCAAATTAGATGGGTGATCTTTGTTTAAGTTCATCTTGGAGGGAGCACTTCATGTTGGGAGGGCTTGCTGAGGTTATGGTAAATGTGAAGTCTAGACTTGGTCTGCCTGGGTCCACCTACCAGCTTTTCTATTTGCTACTTGTGTGACCTCTGACGAATCCTTTTACCTCCCTGGGTCTAAGTCTTCTCTCGCATAAAGAGGAGGTAAGAATTGTACCTAAACCATATGGCTGGGGCACAGATTAAATGAGATGATATATGTAAAGGACCTAGAACAATGACCTGGCACACAGTAAATGCTCAATAAATATTATTTGCCATTACACTTACTGTCACATGTTTACTTCTAGGCAATGCCTAGAAACTGGTTTTAAAGGGATGTATTTCCCTTGTATTCAGAGCATAACTGTTCCATTGGAGAGTATGCTTATTATTTTTCTTCTCTATACATCTCCAATATAGACAATAAACATCACATAAAAGTGATTAATTGAAGAATAGAAAGGATTGTCCTTATGATAGCTTACTTGTTCAGTGTTTTGTTTCCAAAGTGCATAAGGGGGTGGTTTTTTGAGACATTTACTGCAATAGATTATTTCCCTTACTCACATATGCAGGGGAAACTTGTTGGACAAGACATAATGGCATTTTACACCTACAACAGCCAAATCCTGGGGAAGACAATAATGTAAAAGCCTGGTTGCTCTGCTCTGTGTTAAGGGAAACTTTTATTTTATGTAGTTGCTATGTTTCTGGGGATGTGCTTGTACCACTGCTATTCAAATCAACATAGTAATAATTTATGTTATAACCAAGTTTTTCTGTGTAATGCACAGACTTTTAAGAAATAGTAGCTTATAATCTCAAGCCACTGGGACATAATATCCAAGTCAGGGACATAACCTCTCTGGCAAAGTGAGGCCTGAGGACATTTTAGGAACTTACTAGTTACCAAAGAACTCCAATCCATGGTGCATCACTGATGCTGCTAATCCCAGAGGATGTCCAAGAACACACAATATATGGCAGCAGATGGGAAAAGTGAGGACCACTGAGGAGAGCCCACCTATCCAGCAACTCAAAGGAATGTAAGTAAGTGCACCCACTATGGAAAACAGTCTGGAGGTTCCTCAGAAAACTAAAAATAGAATTATCATATGAATCCTACTCCTGGGCATGTACCCAGACAAAACTATAATTCAAAAAGATACACACACCCCTAAGTTCATAGCCGCGCTATTCACAATAGCCGAAACGTGGAAACAACCTAAATGTCCATCAACAGATGAATGGATAAAGAAGATATGGTACATATATACAATGGAATACTACTCAGCCATAAAAAAGAATGAAATGATGCCATTTGCAGCAACATGGGTAGACCTAGAGATTATCATACTAAGTGAAGTAAGTCAGACAGAGAAACACAAACACCATATGATATCACATATATGTAGAATCTAAAATATGGCACAAGTGAACTTATCTGCAAAACAGAAACAGACTCACAGACATAGAGAACAGACTTGTGGTTGCCAAGGGGGAGGGAGGTGGGGGAGGGAAGTATTGGGAGTTTGGGATTAGCAGATGCAAACTATTATATATAGAATGGATAAACAACAAGGTCCTACTGTATGGCACAGAGAACTATATTCAATATCCCGTGATAAACCATGATGGAAAAGAATATTAAAAAAAATGAATGTCTATATGCATATAATTGAGCCACTCTGCTGTACAGCAGAGATTGTAACAACATTGTAAATCAACTATACTTCGATAAAAAAATAAATAAAAATTTTAAAAGGTACGAAGGACAAAGCAAGGACCTCCAGAACCAGCCACTATCTCTTTATTCTAGAATTTCTCAACAGTAGGTTTACTGGACTTTATCTTTCATTCCCACAGTCTATCAAGATACGGAGTTGTCCTATATTTAAATCCAGAATCAATACATAGTATGTCGGGGACTTCCCTGGTGGCACAGTGGTTAAGAATCTGCCTGCCAATGCAGGGGACATGGGTTCGAGCCCTGGTCCAGGAAGATCCCACATGCCGGGAAGCAACTAAGCCCGTGCGCCACAACTACTGAGCCTGCACCCTAGAGCCCACGAGCCACAACTACTGGTCCTGCGTGCCACAACTACTGAAGTCTGCACACCTAGAGCCCATGCTCTGCAACAAGAGAAGCCACCGCAGTGAGAAGCCCGCACACCGCAACGAAGAGTAGCCCCCGCTTGCTGCAACTAGAGAAAGCTCGCGCGCAGCAACGAAGGCCCAACGCAGCAATTAATTAATTTTAAAAAAAAGAATCAAAGAAAAACATAGTATGTCACGGGTACAAGATGCTGATGACTCAATAATTCCATCCATGTTAATTGAGTGCTGTGTGTGCTACAGACTGAATGTTTGTGTTCTCCCCAAAATTCGTATTTTGAAACTTAATCCCCAAGGTGATAATGGTATTAGGAGGTGGGACTTTTGGGAGGTGATTAGGTCATGAGGGTGGAGCTCATGAATGAGATCAGTGCTCTCATAAAGAGACCCCAGAGAGCTCTTTCACCCCTTCCACAGTGTGAGGACACAACAGCAAGACAGCTGCCTGTGAACCAGATGCAGGCCCCCACTAGACACCAAATCGGTGGGTGCCTTGATCTTAGACTTCTAAGACTTCTTAGAACTGTGAGAAAAAAATTTCGGTTGTTTATAAGCCACCCAGTCTATGGTATTTCACTAGAGAAGACTGAATGTACAAAGACAATGTTCTAATTACAGATCTGGTCATTTGCAAATCCTTCCTAGGCTTTCCCACCTCTGAGCCTTTGTTCATATAAAGTTCTCACTCTGCACAATGCCCTCCATCATATTGGTGAACCATGCTTTGAACAGAAGAAGTACCACCAGATGGTACAAGCGGGGAATCTTTATATGAGTAGACTCATTGGTGGTCACTGTGAACAAATATGATCATGAAAGATGCAGGTTTTAAGTTAGTTCTTTAAGGAACTAACTAAGGTAGGAATTAGGTCAATACAGATTAATGGGCAGCACATTCCAAGGAATGTGTGAGTAAGGGCAGAAATACACTGCATATTCCAGGGACAACGAGGAGAGAAATAAAACTCAGGTGCAGGGCTTGCCTTTAGGAATAGAGATCGATGATTCAAAAGACTGGCTAGGACTAGACCTCTGAGGGCCTTGGATGCCAGGCTAAGAAGCTTGGATTTTATTACACGGACAATGTAACCTCATTGTAGGGTGCTAAGCAAGAGAGTAATACGGTGAAATGGCATTTTAGGAACATTATCTGGCACTGGTATATAGGATGGAGTAATAGGAATTGGGATACATTTCCTGTAAATGGCCAGACAGTAAACATTCTAGGTTTTGTGGGACATACAGTCTCTGTTGCAACTACTCAGTGCTGCCATTGCAGTACAGAAACAGCTGTAGACAATCTATAAATAAATGAGCGTGTCTGTGTTCTAAGGAGCCTTCATTGACAAACACAGGTGGGGGCCAGATTTAGCCCATCTTCCTAGTTTGCTGACCTCTGGATGAAAAGATCATTACATGTCTTAGAAAGAAGTCCTACACTGTTCGTGGGAATGTAAATTGGTGCAGCCACTATGGAAAACAGTCTGGAGGTTTCTCAAAGAACTAAAAATAGAGTCACCATATGATCCAGCAATCCCACTCCTGGGCATGTATCCAGACAAAACTATAATTTGAAAAGATACATGCACCCCAGTGTTCACAGCACCACTACTTACAATAGCCAAGACATGGAAACAATCTAAATGTCTACTGACAGATGAATGGATAAAGAAGATGTGCTGTGTCTGTATATATACAATGGAATATATATATATATACATACACACAATGGAATACTACTCAGCCATAAAAAAGAAGGAAATAATGCCACTTGCAGAAACATGGATGGACCTAGAGATTATTGTACTAAGTGGTCAGAAAGAGAAAGACAAATACGATATGATATCACTTATGTGTGGAATCTAAAATATGACACAAATGCACTTATTTACCAAGCAGAAACAGACGCACAGACATAGAGCAAAGACTTGTGGTTGCCGGGGGGAGGGGTAATGGGGGAGGGATGGATTGCCACGATGGGGGGTGGGGGAGTTTGGGGTTAGCAGATGCAAACTATTCTACATAGAATGGATAGACAACAAGGTCCTACTGTAGAGCACAGGGAAATATACTCAATATCCTGTGATAAGCCATCATGGAAAAGAATATGAAAAAGAATGGATATATATATCTGAATCACTTTGCTGTACACCAGAAATTAACATTACATTGTAAATCAACTATACCTCAGTAAAAAATACATTTTAAAAATGTCTTAGGAGGATGCAACATTCACCCTGGGGTATGGTGGGGATGGACGAACTAACAAGCCCATCCTAGCTCAGCGCTGTTCCACTCAGATTGGGAAG